CCCACACACACACACACACACACACACACACACATACATACACTCGTACACCCATGATTCCTCTCAGGTCCTACTCGTTTGAAACCATACACGCACAAGAATTAACGATACGATCAGACCCACATTTCTCTTTGTTCTGTCATCATCATTCTTATCTCTTTCTCATTATCGTGCATTAGTTAGAATTTACTCAAAGAAGTGCATAGCGGTCATTACACACAAAAAAGAGCTTTTAAAATAAAATTCCTCTTTTTTCCATGACATCATCAATCTGTGTGTTCTCTCGACAGCCAACTACATCACGACGGGCATACGAGCACAAGGGAAGCAATGCACGTATGACTTTCATAGCAACAGTAGCCACATCAGTGGGAGATTTTTCTCCCCTTTCTACCCGCAACACTACAAAGCCAGCACTTCCTGTCGATACCACTTCCACGCCCGGCAGGGAGAGAGGGTTAGGATTATGTTCACCAACATACAGCTACATCATATAGATGCGAGGTGAGCATATTGTGTGTCCAACTGTGTGTGTCGGTGTGTGTGTCCATGTGTGTATTATGTATCTTTTATGTTCTTTGTTTGTTCGTTGCATTTGTTTTCCTATGTATGATTAGGGGACATTTCGAGTCCGAAATTTGAAAATACATTAATCTAACTATATACATGTTATTTGTTTCGTATGTTTTCTTTTCTTTTTTCATTTATAATGGAATCCATTATTCATTTGTAACTGCACTCATTATTTCTTTCTTCTTTCACTTTATATATTAGTTTATGAATTTACTTATTTTTTTATTTTTTATTGTTTTTTTTGTTTTTTTTTGTTTTATAACCTGAATCAAGTTGGAAGCGTTTGTAGGATTAAAGTCTGTGATGTCTGTTTATAACGTGCACCCATTCTTTTCGTTTCTCGAACACTGTTTCACTGGTTTTTGTTGTTGCTGTTGTTGTAGTTGATTTTTCGAGGGTGGGAGTTGTTTTGTTTTGTTTTTGTTATGTTATGTCACTGCTGTTGTTTTGTTTGTGGGTTTTTTTTACCTTTTTGGGGGGG